TTAAATACATAGTCACTTCAGTCATAAATCACTTCCTAAATATTAAAACTATTCTTAAAGTTCAATAAATTTAATCCACATAATAATAAGAAAAAAAAGTGTTTTTATCATAGCTGCATAAGACAGAAAAAGCAGGCAATAAAGTAATTTACAAGAGTTTCTATTTTTTTTTTTTTTGAGATACAAGTCATATTTACAGATTGAGATTAACTGTACAAATCTAAATAAATGTATGCATAGATGAAATGCCACACACTGGTCATCGAAGCTGAAGAATGGTGGGAAAATATATATTTGAGAAACTGTTTAAAAAGACTAATAAATGATAGCACCGTATTAGTTAATAATGTATATAAGCAGGAAAAACCAGAGACAGAGTCATCAGGAAGATAATGAAGAGGACTCCCATAGCAGAATTTGGAAAACTATTTTCAAAAAAGAGCATTCATAAAATTCACATGTTTTTGGTATGTTATTAAGTTCAATGATAGTGCCACCTTAGTAGGCACACAACTCCACAAGATACTACTATAGTCGTAACATTTATTAAATTCAAGTCAAGCACCACTTTTCAAATGCTAGGCCTAGAGTGTCTGCATGAGATAGTAAGCTTGGCATTCACGTAATAGTTGTGTCAAATACTGAAAAGGTTTTGGCAACAACAAAAAAATGCATTGAATGAGAACATACCGGTACTAAATGTTCAAAAAACGCAAAAATGAATCTGAAATAAATTTGGCATTTCACAGCTGTCATACAATTTGTAGAAATAAATGCTTATTAACGACATCCAAACTGTTTTTGTACCTTTGGGTAATTAAAAATATTTCTTCAAATTTGTTATGAGTAGACAGTTAAAAATACAATAGCAAGAAATGGTACTTAAAAGACATTAGCGTCAATTAGCTTATTATATACAGGTAATTGCTTAAATTCACTACTAATTCAGTCAATCAATATAACAAGAGGAGAACAAGGGTTAAGTGTTTATAGTACTACAGAAGGAATGTATTCCATCATGTTTGAACCGCCTTCAAAATAAGCCATCGTTGTTTGTTACCGGTAATTACGAATGAAACATTAATAAATGAAATATTTTAGAACATGGATCCTCGTAGCTGGCAGAGTCTGTTTAAAAACTAGTGATATTTAAAAATAGATCATCACCAGTCATCACAGCTTATCTTTCTCATCCAGAAAGCTGCAAGAAAGCTTGCCTAGCTTTCATACATCAGCAAAAAAAAAGCTGTCTTCATTACAAAAGCTTTAACTTATCAAATAACATTAATATGAAAGCCTAATATGAGAGAAGATTTTGTGTAAACTGTACATACTGGTACAATATGTAATCAAAATATCACGCACGCAAAATACACATTTTTGCTTCATGACAATTGGAGACTGCTCTTTTAATCAATAAAATATGGTAGTTTCACAAGCTAGTCAATAACCATCCAGACTTCATGAGCAAATGAAACAAAACTCACAATAAAATAAACAGCAGGACCGATAAACGACCTGTTTGAGGTAGAGAAAATCCACATTTTTCCTTTCATAAGGACAATGATTCTACTTTACTCATGCATCAGACTAAAATGACTAATGATATGCTAAATTTTGTTCATTATTTCAAAGTCTCATAAGAAAATTTCACTAGGGAACACTCAATTAGAGCATCACACTGACATGTAAGAAATGTAATCCTTGGCAATGAATACCCCTTAAATACAGCACAGTGTAAGTGGATATGTAACTTAACATTTGACTAGCTTCAAGTCTGCTTTTAAAACTGTCGCACATCTAATTCATGTAATCTGCCTAAATATGTCTCATATTAGTAACATAGGTAAATACTACTAAGAATAAGTTGAAATTATTGATGAAAATGATGCTCAAAATCAATAGTTTTTATGAAACGTCAAAGCCAGCTGGAAAGTTAAGTTATGCCTGGATTGTACTGTTTCAATTTAATGGTTGGATATTAGTACAAAATGAATGTGGTGTTCAAGCACAATATCAAAAGTTTTGAAACAAGAGAAACAAAGCCACTTGGGGAAGAAAAATTAGTAAAACAGTTGTGACTTTAGCAAAAATTCACATTCAGTTATTTGAGTTTTCAAAAAAAAAAAGGTTTTTAATCTAACAAGGAAAATTAGAAAATGTTAAAAGTGTATAAACTGTAACGATATTACAATACAAATTATTTCAGATTTGGTCCATGAGTCATAGAAAATTTCCCTGATATTACCATATTAAAATATCAAAATGAACAGTATGGATATTATTAATTTTATTACCACCTTCATTTTTATACAAAATTTATACATGGTTCATTAGAATAGGAACAGCCAGGGTATTTTGTGGTCCAGTGACAGGGGTAAGTGTTGCCACTTGTACGGATGGACCTTTGCTAAGCATGTGATTGTTTTGAAGAGTAACATTCATGTATATCATCTGAGAGGTATGTCCACATATGATTTTAGATTGAAATGATGTTAAAAGCAGATAAACTAACATGACTCAAGGCTTTACTGGAAGTGGAGAATATTTTTATACTACATCTCGGAGGCATTTAGAATGCAGTTTTCTGGAAAATCTAAGTATTATTCTGACAAGATCACAAAAAGGTATGGAGATTTTTGAAGTATGTATAGAACCCATTATGGAATGATAACTTATAAATCATTGTATGTGAACTCAAAGACTAGCAAACACACTGCCCTCAACCAACCAACCTAAATTACATTGTACTGAAACATAGGAAAAATTCTTATAAAAATCCACGAGGCAAGTTACAGAAGGCAAATCATTCCTGTTTGACAATTTACATATTTCAGTTTGAAGCATTATGATGGATTTGCTAACTTAAATAACGTCAATAACCTCACGGTAAATCATTTACAATGTGAAACTATTAGTAACGAGCCTACAATTTGACGATGAAATCACACATAATCTGCAAATGTTGAATTACTACTTAAAATCAACTGTAATATTATTTTTGCCAGGGAGCCCTTGCCAATTAATGTGGAAATGTTACCTAATTTCTGTGATATAAGCTCTATTAAGTAATAGTTCTACTTAGAGTATTCACAGGATGCAGGATGACCTGAATCGTGTTTGAGATGCAGAATGCATGTTCTTGATCTTAGCAAGACTTCTTGATGCAAGTTTGTTGACTACTTCTGGTCAGGAAGATGCAGTGACACACTCAATGTTCGCTGTATGCTTTAACTTTAGCTTCCATTTCCTATAGAAAAAAATAAATTAAAATCAACATCCTGGATGAAAAAAATAAATAAATAAACTGCTGCAGCATTGACTAATTGTATATCTACCCACAATAAACTTAATAAAAACAATTTCTTTATTTGCTATCGTACTAAGCCAGTCCCTGCAGCATAAATGAGGAAGGGATTTTCATGACTTGATGTCCATGAGCATGTTTGCCTATAAGTTGAATAAAACTTATCGCTAAGGATATCTTACAAAAAATCTTGTTATTTTTGAGAAAACAATCAGTCATGCAAATACCCATATTATGAAATCCATTCCCCCCAAGCAACAAATGATTGTTTTTAATCAATCTCTGCTACATATGGATATGCAAACACAGACAAACAAATCATTATGACCTCATTGTGGGAGTTATATTCAGAACATTTATTATTACCTTCATAATTGCATTAACACATTTTCTCAAATCAATATTCCAAGTAACATGTCTGTAAACACCTTCATATCAATGTACCATTTTCTCGTTTGCACACATTTCCATGTCTATTTTTCACATTCGTTGGGTTTTTACATCATCTAATTTTTTACTATAACTAACTAAATAATATACGACATATCTGAATTTGAAATTGGATGTAAAATTCTACCTGTAAAAAAGACTGACCTAAGACAACTTAAGTGTACCGGTATTACATCAAAAAATGTATAAGATCATGACAATATACAGTACTGTAAAATCTGTATTAGAAACCGCGGCTTCTATTAAAATGGTACAATGCAATAGAGGGGATGAGGCTTCTATTAGAGCATCTACACATATGAGAAATGACGAACTTTTGGTTCTCAATTATTCAAAAAGAATGGGTGCGACTTCTATTAGGGATGCGGCTTCTAATACAGATTTTACGGTAATCAGCTTTATTTCCTTACCTGAATTAGCTGTGTCTTATTATAGTCGTTGCGATGACAGTATATACATTGACTTAATGTGGAATGCAATTTTTCTAAAGTTTCTATATTGAAATGCTCGGACACTTCCACTGTGTAATCTAAAAGATTCTAGAGAAAGGTAAAAATAAAAACAGTTCAATTTATACTTTTTGCTGAACACCTAAAAGGTCGACCCCTACCCTGGGTGAGTGTGCCACTGACTCAATGGGAAGGCAAATTCCACTGGCCCAGATTCATTCACTAACGAATGCAGCGTTAGGGGAACCTTGTTTAAGGTACGCAGGTGCTTGTGTTTGACTGTACCTGGTTGACGCCGGATAGCTCATAAAAATTGCCATTTGATAGTGAGATGTCCGCATAGTCCTGTCATGCAATTCCAAACATTAATATGGCTTCTGTGGCACTATGTGTCAGCACTTGCAATTTGCAAGATGTTGATAATTAACTTTATGGACTAAATGCAGATTTTGCAGGTCATATGGCAAAAACACTTCTGCTATTTATTAGGAGTGGATTGTTATAGTATGTGCCAGCACACAATAAAATGTGTACCAGCAATAAGTCACGCCCCCTCTCACTTTTTCAAACTAGAGTTAGGTCTTTTTGTATCCAACAGTTACAGCCGTTCTGAGAATTATTCGGACAGTCAGTTAGCAATATGTGTTGGAACTTTGCAAAACACTTGGGTCTTTTCCAATCTAGACTTGATGGCGCCGTTGTATTGGCACGCCCACAATTGGAATCATTCCATTATCTTGCAAGATGCGGGTAAAACGCTGTTTTCAAAACGACACGCGTTGGTCATCATATACTCGACAGGTTATATGTTGTATGTGCATTCAAAGTGTTATTTTAAATTGTTATACCCATCTGACTCCACCTGACATAGCGCAATTTACAAAACAAC